GTCCTGACTGATTTATAAAGGATACAGTTTTCATTCATTTTCTTTTCTTTCTTCAAAAGTGGGACCATAAGAATATGTATATGACATTTACTGTTGAAGAGGAAATAGAAAGGATACTTGACAGAGATGAGGATGCGCCAATTGTTGAGAAAAATAACCCACAAGTCATTGATAAAGGAAAGAAGACCGTACGAAGGTATGAAAATCCCTTGCCCTTTCCTTTGCAAGAAACAAAGAAAAGTATATGGAAGAAATTTTTAGAAATAGTTGAAAATTTGAAAGTTTCTGTCCCTTTACTTGATTTGCTCTCCCAAGTCCCCTCCTATGAAAATTCTTGAAAGAAATACTTGTTAAAAAGAGAAAATATGGGAAACATGAGATGATTGCAATGGCACAAGAGTATAGGGCCTTGACACCCGGAGTTGGAAGAAGAGTGACCAAATATAAAGATTCGGGGAAGTTCACAATTCCTTGTATTGTTGGAGGTCGTCCTATAAAATGATCCCTTTGTGATCTTGGAGCCAGTGTCAGTGTCATGCCCCTTTCACTTTGTATGAAGATGAATTTGGGCAAGCCAAAACCAATCAACCTCACATTGTGCATGGCGGATCAGTCTACTTCAACCGTTGTGGGTATACTTGAAGATGTCCCTGTTCGTGTGGACAAATATTTTTTCCCTATTGATTTCATTGTATTAGATGCTCAAGAAAATCCAGAAATTCCACTCATCTTGGGGAGACCTTTCTTGGCTACAATCGGAGCATTAATTGATGCTAGAAAGGGAACGATGATTTTTTATTTTGGAGAAGAAAAAGTTGAATTCAATGCCTTCAAGGAGAAAAGTTCATGCAACATGGTTCATCTAATGAAGTGGGATGAAGACAACCTCGAAACACAGAAGTCGCAACGTTTCAATTTCACAAGCGAATGAAAGAAAGGGAGCAACAATACATTCTAATACATTCCAAATTGAATTAGAAAGGCACATTAACCAAAGCAGCAATTATATTCCTAATCAAATTGGCGGCAATTTCTAAATTAAATAAGGAGAGTCCAATTTTGCACAGGATTCCTATTCTCTTTGGGTTTGATTCCAACTATAAAATCCCACCTTCCTCAACCCAAATGGGAAATTTTTCAGATTTTTAGAGATCTTTGGAGACGAGAAAGAGAGAAATCAAGAGCCACAAGTTGTCTTGGGAAGCAAGAAGAAGACTAGGGAGATTCGAGAAAATCGTCTGGTTAATTCTTGTACTCTTTTTGTAACACCCCCAATTTCCATGCCAATTTAAACTTAAATATGCAGATAATCTAACCACAATATAAGCAAACACAGCGGAAGTCTAACTATATAAAACTGGAAAACGAAGAGTGTTATGCCATGTCCACACTAAAGTGAACGCACAGGCAAGAACATCAACATCATCAGTTTAACAAGGGACAAGGTCAAAACAACAACAATCTATTGTTCATCATATAAGGCACACATGCCCATAGCAAAACTAAACAAAGCCTGAGGGATACTACATATCCATCTCTAGATCGCGCTCGCCACTACTCGGGACCTGAAAAGCACATAACTAAATGGGATGACGCCCGGTCAGCGAATGATGCTGGTAACCCACCAATACATGTTAAGTATCATACATAGATAGTATATATATACAGAATCATTTTCGAAACAGAATACTGTATATATAAGTTCAAAGCCAAAGATAGAAGTCAACCACAAGACTCTATATCACTCACAATAAGAATGAGGGAACACATCCCAAGCCAACAAGAAGTAACAACGACAAACAAGTAAGGCTCAAGGTGTATTCTACCATCATTCAGTAGAATATCACCCGACATGCTCAACACAAGAGAATCAAGAGACACACATTACCAACACATGCCTTCGTGACATCACTCGTCACGAATAGAGAAACACACAACAGCAACACATGCCTTCGTGACATCACACATCACGAATCAATAATCCTTCCTTATGTCCGGTTCCAACCTTATGGCTACCCCCAACCTTATATCTAGTTCCAACCTTTACCTCCAGGACCCCTATACTCCAAGTCCAACCTTATTCCTCCGAGGACCGTCGTTCCCACTCCGACAATCTCCAACAATACCACCGATTTCATAGTACACGAGGGTACCGATCACACACACTTTGGCAACACATGCCTCCCAAGAAATACGTGAACCCGACACACAGGTCACAAACTCCATAATCACGTCATGGCCACCACAAGGACCACTGTCGTACCTTGGTGACTAATGTCTCATTCCATTAATCGTGCAATCCAGGTACAGCCACACACACAACACCATCATAGGAATCAATCAACGGATCTCAACGAAGATATGAAACCATACTCAACAAGGAAAGGATCACAATCCAACAACAACGATGATCACACAAGTCATCATCCGCAATTAGGAAAGTACAAACCACACACGCCAGCATTTCAACACCGAACTAGCATTCTCATCAAACGGGTAAACAAAACATAGTTCCGAAGAACACACAAGACTCACCATGGTTCAACGAACCACAAGGTTGAACACTTAGCACGATTCAAGACACCAAAACCTACATGGAATCCTACCATATAGTTCTAGACATACGAAACATCAAGAAGACACTCAAATAGTTCCACAAAAGAACATCGGGGAGTCAAAACATCAAATACCGAGTCAAAATAATCACGGGGAACAAATCCCCAAACTACACCATATATGTACCCCGCGGGTGGGGCCACGGGTGGACCCCCACCCGTGGTTCCGCCCGCGGGAACACACTCCCACAACCAACGTACCCCGCGGGTGGACCCCTACCCATCGTTCCGCCCGCGGGTACAACACCCTGTACCAAAACATCCCATCGGGGATTTTCAACACCAAGCTCAAATTCAAGTCCAAAACATGCCAAATCTCACCAAATACAACAGAATGACTTGAATCAAAGGAATAGTCAAGCAATGGCATACATGAACCCTAAAAACAAGCTCTAGATATGCATTTTCACAAGACAATGCATCAACACTCACATTTCATAGCGAAATCACATGTAGAATCCAAGAAATCATCATATAGGTAAGTAAAATAGATTTTGTAAAGCCTGGGTTACCTTTGAAGACTAAACCTTCACTTATAACACCTCTCAAAGCTCCTAACAAGGTTCACCTTGAACACCCACTTCAAGAACACACCAAAAGACCATAAAGATTTCATCTTTAGAAAAAGATACCTTAAAAAACACTAAAAACACAAAAGGAACATAGATCTTACCCTCCTAGATGCTAAAGAGTATGACAGGTGAAATATTGGAGACAAACTTTGAAGATATTGGAAAGCTCAAACTTAGCTTGGAGAGAAAGCTAGCTAAATTCTATAGAGAAGGAAGAGTTTTATGTTTTGAGTGTGTTAGGAGAAGAATGAGAAATGCCCTTAGGTTAGCTTGGATACAAACATGAGGTGTAAAGTCATCTTTACCCTTACTAAGATGAAAAAGTGTAACGAGACAAGGTAACTATTCACAAAGCTTTAGGTACAACACCTTGACTTGGGTTGACTAGTCAATTACTAGTCCCCGACTATTGAATTTTCAGGAATTTAAAGAATTAAATTACCAATTAGATTAGGATTAAAGAATAAGGATCTCGTTCTCTGAAACGCTCTGTTTTCTTCGCCACTCCTGATCGTGGTTTTTCCGATCATCTGTTCAAACGTGGATACCTCTCCCGATCGTGATCGGAGGGAGTGTTCTCCCTAGGCTGTCTAGGACGCTGATATATATGCTGTGATGATGGTTTCGTTTTCTCTACCAGTGATCTATCTGTTTCTGTTGTGGCTCATAATCTCGATCCGCATGGACGTTCTGGATATAGAAAAGTGCTGTGCCGAGATTGTTCTGGCCGATGAAGCGGTTGGAGGCCTGGAGGCTCCGGAGGCTCGGTCGATTCCAGACGCGACGATTACGAATAACCTTGTTGGCCGTCTCCTCACCGATCGGCCAATCCGGTTCGAGCATATGCAACATGTTCTGGCTTCAGTTTGGCGACCAGTTACGGGCATGTATGCAATTTCCCTGGCGGATGATTTGTTTCTCTTTCAGTTTCCGCATCAGAGAGATCTTCATCGGGTAATTGAAGATGGACCTTGGTCCTTCGAGAATCACCTGATGATCTGTGAGCAAGTGCCGCCCAATGTTCGTCCAGAGGAGGTGAAACTGGAATCCGTTCCCTTTTGGATTCAGATTCATGGACTACCGGCAATGTACGCATCTCCTGAATTCCTTTCGCAGATCGGCGATTATATTGGAGAATTCATCGCTCTGGACCCGTTCAATTTTGGAGGGGCATGGCGTAGCTTTTACAGAATTCGAGTGCGGTTGAGTGTATCCGTTCCTATCACGAGGCGCATGAAGCTAGTCAGGCGCGATGGGACGTCGCAATGGCTTTCGTTTAAATACGAGAGATTGAGTAAATTCTGTTATTGCTGCGGCATCCTGGGACATTCAGACAAATTCTGCAAAACGGCGTATGAACAAGGTATTATTCCAGATGACTTCCCGTATGGAGCGTGGCTACGTGCAGGTCCAAGGCGTCACGTGAAACCGGTGGGCGCAAAATGGTTATTATCATCGTCCACCATTGAGGCTCCACTACCCACCGCCTTGGTGGATATCTTCCCGGCTACTCTTGTGACCAGGGAGGAAGCGGAAGGGATACAGGGTGACTTGAAGCGTCGCAGGGGTGACATTGTGGTTTCAGAGGGTATGCTGGGTGATGATGTGCAGATGGCAGATAATACAAGAGTGCATGAATTGGCGAGTCTGGTAGACCAGGCTCGCCGAGCATTATGAGTTTGTTAAGCTGGAACTGCCGGGGGTTGGGGGGGACCCGGACAGTTCGTGATTTATTGGGCTTTGTGTCCAAGTATAGACCCCAATTTGTCTTCATAATGGAGACAAAAGCAACTGAGGATCGTATAGAGGAGGTTCATGTGAAGTTGTGTTTCGAAGGGAAGATTTGCGTGGAGCGAGTAGGCTTTGGAGGGGGTTTGGCTTTCCTCTGGAGGGACAAAAATGCGGCATCATTATTAAGTTTTTCCGATCATCACATCGACATGGAAGTAACGCTACCCGGTCGTCCAGCATGGCGGTTGACGGGTGACAAGAGTGTCAAGAACATCCTTTTGGTCAAAACTTAGAGAATTCAAAAGATACCAAAATAAGCAAGAGATCATATCCTTGCAAGGATTGAAAGAATTAACCAACGGAAATATTGAGCATATCAAACTCTAAACCAAACACAACCACCAACTTCTAATCAACACTCAAGATCTAAACAACTAGCTCCTAGCTCAAGCCACAAAACTAACTACTCAACAAAACTAGCAAACAAAAACGAACGCACAAAGCAAACAAGCAACTAGCAAACGGTAGCAACAACTAAAAAGATAACAACAACTAAGGAAAGGTAGAGGGGATTACCACAACACCGCGCTGGAATGACTCGCTCTCCGATTCTTCGGTGTCTTCCTTGGACTCCTCGTCATCATCTCCCCTTCGACTCGAACTGGCCTCTATCTGATCTAACCTCTGATGCACTGCCACGAACTGCGTCTTCATAAAAGCAAAGCCTTCTTCGATCATCCGATTTTGTTGGTGTAGCAAGGTGACCACACGCTCCTCGTGCGTCATAGCATCGTGCTCTCTCTTGGTTTGGGCTTCTCTTCTCTTCCTGTTTTCTTCACTTCCCGGATCACTTTCCTCAACACCGGCAGCTCCTCCCGCTTCCGCTTCCTCTTCATGGCCTTCTTCTTCATCATCCCCCATATCACCTCCCAAGCTCTAGACCGCGAGGTTCGACATTCCGATAGGAATCTCGAGCTCTGCAACCAACTCATCTCTTTCCTCGGGGGTTTTCCTAGCAACTTCTTCAAGAGTGATGTAATCACCGTCATCCAACTGAAACAAGTTGCAACTTCGCAGATTGATGGCATCCAACACCATATTTCCTACGGGCTTCGGCATACAACCATCAACGCTCACGCCCTTCTTGACAAAGATCCAACTCAACACTATACCGTAAGGTAGGCTCTTCCGGTTGTGGTCACGGCAAAAGACCATGTGTTGCAACATCAAGGCAGGCAGATTAAACTTTACCATGTCCTTCAGACAAAAAGCGAAGGTACACTCCAACTTTCCAAACAACCGACTTTTGTTGTTATTGGGCAACAAACAATCCGATACCAGCATCACCAAAATCCTTTGCTCGGTAGACAACCACTTCTTCTCCGGTCTTGAGGCCTGCGTGAAACCACTCGTGCGACCCAACAAGTAACTCAAATAGTCCCGGTACCCTATGGTATCCGTACTAATCCAAGAGTTACCACTGTACTGTGAAACTCCCGAAGCTGATAAACTTAAAAGCTGGGCTAACCCCTTTTCAGACAAAACCACTTTCACACCCCTCACCTTAGAGATGATTTCAAGCTTTCCTCCATCCTTCGCCACAACCACGTGACGGTAAAACTCCTTAACCAAACTTGGGTATGTCTCGGCCCTTATGGCGAGAAACCCATCTAACAAGCCTTGATATCTAAGCATATCCAACAAAGAACTAGGAAAAGATTCCGGTCGAAAGCTTTACCTTCTAAAATGAGATAATGGGCATCCACCCATTCCACTTTCCTTGCCAAACTTGTTCTCCTAGGCATGGATGAAAGATTACCCAAAGCTCCACGAAAAAACCCAAGACTTTCCTCCTCTTTTTTTTTCTTATCTTCTCGCGTCGCGGCGGTGCTCCGGCGGCGGTGTCTTGGCAGTCGACGGTGACAGCAGGTGGCGTCGGCGGCGGCTTGGTCTCATCGGGGACGGGTTATTGACAGGTGGTGGGGAGGGGTGGTTCGGCTGGTGCTCACGGGTAGAGGGATGGGAGGGAGAAAATGAGGGTTTTGGGATTTGGGGAAAAATTGGAAAAAGATGATGATTTAATTTGGGGATTTTGGGTAAAGTGAGAATTAATGGGTTAGATAGAATTAAAATTAGATAAAGTTCAAGAAACATAATTAACTCAAGTGGTTTAAGGGTTGGGTTAGTAAGTGATATACTCGGGTTTGAAACTTTGTGGTTACAAATTTATATTTTACTTGGTTTTTTAGGCTACACAAAAAGGAATTCTATGGGTGGATAGGTTACAAAAATACATGTGCAAGGCTATGGAATTCATGACTCGCCGCTCCTCTGGGCATCCAACAACAGAAAAGACAACGAGGTCTTCAGGCTGTGGAGGTGACAACAGAAAAGATCTTGTCAAACGTCCTCACCCACTCTTCAAGAACAACGAGGTCTTCAGGCTGTGGAGGTGGCAAGGGATGGTTGTTGTGCAACAACGCCTCGCTGTGGAGGTGGTGGTTGTTGTGCAACAACGCCTCGCTGTGGAGGTGGTGGTTGTTGTGCAACAACGCCTCGCTGAGGGGGTCTGCATAGTCACCCACGGGGTCCCCAACGCCTCGTTGTGGTGGTGGTGGTGGTGGTTGTGCAACAATGCCTCGCTGAGGGGGTCTGCATAGTCACCCACTCTTCAAGAACAACGGGGTCTTCAGGCTATGGAGGTGGCACGGGATGGTTGTTGTGCAACAACGCCTCGCTGAGGGGGTCTGCATAGTCTGCGTAAGCTGTTGCAGATTCTGGGCAAGGTGTTCGTTCGTGGAGTCTTCGGTGTACGTGCACGCTGACGGGGAGGCATCGTTGTGTTTGCAAATATACTACGCATCACAACCCAAAATATTAATCCCAAATTTCAATTTTATAAAGTTTCGAAATAAAATTATTTTATTTCTACGATGATTTATTTCCTAAAATTTTGAGCCAAAAGTCTATTCAAGACGAAATTGTCATTATTACTCTAAGTCTTAATTGTTCTAATCCGAATTGATTTAATTCACGAGCCCAATAATTTTGGTTGGAATCAAAATATATTTCTAAGCCCAATCTTTCATTGATCCAATTACTAAAATAGTCTAGCTCAAAACCATTTTTGGCAAGCTTGGCCCAACATTCTATTTTAACCCAACCCATCTTATATTAAGAAACCCTATTCATTTCTTTGTCATATATATATATATATATATATATATATATATATATATATATATATATATATATATATATATATTTTTTTTTTTTTTTTTTGAATCCAGTGCACACCCCCTAGTCAGCTGAGCCCGTGAGCACACTCCATGATCGTTGCTTTTAATTTTTTAACGATTCAGATTGATTACCACTTGGATCCCATGTTATACTGATTTTAGATGAAGCATGGGTCTTTTTG